ATTAATAAAATATAATTATAGAAAAAAAAAAAGAAAATTACCACTATTTGCTGTTTGCCTAAAAAGCTTCTAACATTGTTATTATTTGCACACAGTGCAGTAAACAGCAGCAACATCAACAACGGCAATACACAAACAGCAGAGCCCTGTCCAGCTATGTGACCTAAAGGCCACATTCGTTAGCACTATCACCCAAAGCCATCTAATGACTACAAATACTCACTATAGTTAAAATGATGGAACACGGTCACATATACATGTAAGAAAGACAAATAAAACAGAGGTCTTGAAGAATCTTAGGTGGAATATGAAAATACAACCTTCTAGACATTTCTGTGCCTTAGTATTTACCTTTTTCTATATCAGATATCTTGGGAATGGGAGATGTTGAAATGAGTATGAAGAGGTCTGAACTGACTTTAACATGTAAATTTCAATAGGCAATAAAGAGGACCAGACTATCATCTCAAAGGAAGCTGTAGTGGCAGAGTGGTAAGAATCTGTACTGCAATCCCAAAGGCACAAGGTTCAAACACACCAACTGCCCCATGGAAGAAGGATGGGCAATGCCCTCCCGTATGATTCAACTGTCCGTGAAATCCACTGGAGCTATGAGTTGGTTCCAACTTGACAGCACAAAACAACAGGCTATCTCAAGGTGAGCGCCAACCTCAAATTCTTCATCTGTACAGTAAGAAGATTGACTATTTCTGAAGTTTCTTTCATGTTCTTTTCCATCTTTCTACAAAAGCTAAGGAAACAAATAGCATAAAACAATATTATATGCTCACATGCATCAAATGATATTTTGTACTCAATTCAAAGGAACCTTCTATCTTAATGTTCCATCAAATTAAACCTGTCTGACTTGCTTACAAATAGGTGCAAAGACTATACTCATTGCAGGGATCTGTGGACATTTCCAAAGCCAAAAAACCCACAGGCAAATCAGCTGGTCAAGCTTATTATCCTATTACAAGCAACAGAGTTGAATCCTTATATACTACAAGTTACAATTACCTTTAAAAGAGAAAGAAGTAAATCTGCAAAAAGCCTGTACTTGATTATGAAAGAATGGCCACAGAGACTTCACAAACAAGCTTGTTGATGGTTTTTATAACCCCAGCTGACTAAAGCCCAGGGAGTTTAAGACACAGGGACAAAATAATGCCCATAAAAAGCAAAGTTCTTACAAATCAAATCTCCTTTATCCATTCTACCCTAATAACATCCAAGTCCATCACACTAAACAAATACACTACCAGTCAAAATCCCATCTCTTTGAAGTCAGACCTTAGGCATGACTTTAGGACAGAAGGGTCTAAACAGTACTCTAAAGTCAAACACCATTATTTTTGCAGCAATGTATAAGATACAATAACAACTTTGCAACAAAATTCATCATAAGGTGCTCAAGTAAGAAGGATAAAAACTATACAGACCTTTCTGTTAATTCAGACCAGACAAATGCATTTGTTGTTGTAGTTGTTGTAATGTGCTGTTGAACTGAAACCAAGCCATTAGCTGACCCTCCAGCGAGTTTTCAGAGGCAGAAAAATTGCATGGGAAGAGACCCTCTATCCTTCCTCCTATCGAGCAGCTAATGGATTCAAACTTTGTGCCTTTGAGATCGCAGCACATCTTTTTACCACTAGGCTTCCAAAGCTTCCTGCATTTGGGAACAAAACTTACAAAAAACTCAGGATTACAGAGCTTTATGGATTTCAGACTTGAGGTTACAAGACTATGAATCTGATAGTGAAATCTGTGAGAGCAGGAAGGAACCTGACAGGACTGCATGTTTTCTGGGACTCAGAAGGCTCCCCACTTTAACAGGGTGCAGTCTTAAAGTTTTCTATCATTCCCTACTAATCTGAGTTTTTCTTCTCTGATACATTTCAACCTTACCTACATTCTAACTTTTATAGGTTTCACATCATTAAATTTCTTTCCAGTTTTCCAGCAATGAGAGAAACTTATTTTGTTTTGGTGCCAGGTAACAAAGAAATTTTATGTGTTTTTATAATATAAAGTACTTTTAGTATACTCAAAACGTACAGCCATACAATAGTTGCAAGTTCTATTAAATAGCGTAAGTAGTATTAGGTACTAGTAAAAACTGCTGTTGGGTAGTGAATAAAATGGAAAAATATATTGTTCATACTATACAGAGAAATGAAGCAGTATATTGTTTATACTATACTGAGAAAAAAGCATCTTAGGAAATAAGAGAAATAAATTAGGAAATAATTAGTATCATCTAATTTTTTATTCTGAAAAGGGAGTAGATATATATTTTACAGTCATCAAGCCCTCACTGCTGACAAGTTGATTCCAGCTCAGCCACTTTGAAGGACACAGCAGAGTTGCCCACAGAGTTTCCAAGGCTGCAGATCTTTACAGAAACAAACTGCCTCATTTCTCTCCAGCAGAGTGGCTAGAGAAGTCAAACCATCAGCTTCGGTTAGCAGCTAAAATTTCTAACATGGCACCAAGGCTCCTTTACATAATCATATTGTTGTTGCGAGCCCTCAAGATGGAATGGACCCATAGTTGACCCTCCAGTTTGGGTTTTCAGAGACAGTTTAACTGCCCATCCTTCTCCTGAAGAGCAGCTGGTGGATTCAAACCACATGCTTTTGGGTTGAGAACACTGCTCCCTACCAACAGACCACCAGAGCTCCCTCCTGTTGTTGTTAGGTGCTGTCAAGTCAATTACAACTCACAGCAACACTTTGAACAACAGACCTGAACCATGCCCTATTCTATGCCATCCTCATGACTTCCAATAGAAATCAAATAAATATGCTAATACATCTACTCCTCACTTACCAGCATGGTTAAGTTTCAAAGTCTAAACTGTTATTTAAAAATATGGCATTATGTGAAAATGGAAGATGAGCACATTGCTTTTACGAAATGGAAGAAAACTGTATCATATATAAGTGCTACATTTTATCATTACATAACTTCCAAATTACATAAGTGTCACCCACTGGGAATTATGGTCCAGCCACGCTGACAAATGAATTCAACCATCACAGCAAGTGTTTCTTCTTTCATACTTCTGCACTCATTAACGTCAGACAAATTGTTTACATGCAAAATGGACTGTACATTTACTACTCGTCTTAAATGAGGATATTTGAGAAGTAGATGTAGTAATCATAATGGCTGATAAAATTGACAAGATTTTTATCATGGCTTCTTTTGTATTTTCTCAGTTTTCAATAGTGGGTAGCTAATATTTTTAAACAAAACTAAAAAAAATGCATTTAAAAATTCATAAACAATTGGAATTAGTAATATTACTTCCAAGTTCTTACCTCCGATGATATAGATATATTACAGGAAAATAAAAGAAATGTTTCTGTTTTCTGCATTTCCCCTGGTTCCACCAACAGTTAATTGCCACAAACAACACCTGCAGAGGTACAGAAAAAAGAAATTTTTTTAAAGTTTCCAAACAACTATGAATAACAACTGAGAAGTTACCAAAACTTCAAAGGGGAAATAGAGAAATGAAACTATTCCTTTCCTCCTGAAACAGAAAGCATAAAAAGCCTGTTTTATGTTTTCAAAGGAAGGTGCTCATTTATCATTAAAATAAAAAGACACTGATCGATAGTGAGTATATCAGGCTTTGGACCAAGAAAATGATTTGTTTGAATTTCTAAAAGGATCACATGCCAACAAGCTTTCTCTAAGCATGGCGACACCGACACTTAGTAAGGGAGGTCTCTGACAGGCAGAGCATCCAAGAAAGAAAAAAGAAAATGTTGCCTGCACTCAAAATGGGAGCAAACAGAACACTGCAAATTTCAAAGGCTCATTCTTAATGAGTATTTAAAATAGATGATCATAGCCATGCTGTAAAAGGTAGGATTGAATAGTAAAAATGAGCATTTAATATGTACACATGAATGACGTGTCCATCTGCCTGCAGCTCACTTTGAAAGGTACCAAAAAACCAAAATAGATTAATCAACAGATGAAGACAGCAGGGTTTCTTACTTCAGCACTACTGGCATTTGAGCCAAATAATCCCGTCATGGAGGCCGTCCTGTGCACTGCAGGATGGACAGCAGTAGCCCTGGACTCTGCCCACTACAGTTAGAGGGAATCTCAAGTAAAGACATCTCTGGACATTGCCAAATGTCCCCTGGAAAGTAGGGCAGGAGTAGAGAAGGCAAAATTGCTTCCAGTTTAAAAACTACAAAAAAAGGATGGCTAAGTGTATAAACATGTGGGAAAACAAGCACAGTAACATATTAGTGACAGAATTTAGGTAGTGGGTATATGGATGGTAATAGTAAAATTCTTTCCATTTTTCCGTATGCTTGAAATTTTCATAAGTATTGAAGGAAAATCATCCTAGATGTCTTAGATCTGCTAGAAAAATATCAACACTGAGCAAACTTTAGTGGAACTACTTAGCGTTCTTTTCAGAGTCTATTTATGAAAGAAAAAAAGCATCCATTTCCCTCCATTTTGTAAAAGCAATGTGTTCATTTCCATTTTCACATCTTTCTTTAGGCACGCAATCTCATTTTTTCCCCTCAAAAGTAGGAAACCATGCGTGTTACCTTTAATAAATAAGATGGTTCAGAAGATTACCTGTTGCAAAACAAAACAAGTATTTCCCTCAGGAAAGGAAAATCCTATTAAGTACACAGAATAACAAGCTCTCAAGTCAAAAAGAGTTGACAAAACTGTTTGGAAAAGCAACATCTATTAAACTGCGCACAGTATGCTAACCTCCGCCACTTGGTGCCATGTGATCGTGAACAAACCGCTTCACCCCTGTGAGCCTGCGCTCCCCTTCGAGGAGGAAAACCAGCACCTGCTTCACAGAGCTGTTGTGAGGAGCTTAACGTTTGGATCAAGAGATTAATATTCTTTCAGTGTAACACTCTGAGGACACAATATTTATATGGACAGTACAGTGACAACATACTTAATTTATGAACCACCACTTAATTTATGAACTACCTAGAAATACAAATTGCTTCCCCACCTGGAGGAGGTGACTGCTATTCTGTAAATTCAGAAAACTTGGGAATGACTGACAAAGTAGTGACTTCTTTTATCCCACATACTGCTGTCCACTCAAGTTCATGTTCTCTGGAGCACTGAGAAGTGTCTGCCTGTGTGGTTACCCACAGAGATTTTTTTTTTAAGGAAGTGGAGCTCAGGGAAGACAGGAAATGGCTAAGTCCTTTGGGTACACCAATGAAACATAAAATGCACACCCTCTCTCATCGTTTTAAGGAAGGAACAGCTCTATTTTCACACTTGGTATCACTTGGTATTATTTTCAGAAATATAAATAAAACTGCTCTGCTGAGCTGGGCAGGGAGGTTCGTCATGATACATAATACTATTTCTAAGAAAAACCAGCTGAGAGATTTAAATGAACTTCTGGTAAGGTCCCTGCCCGCACAAGTCACTCAGATCAATGGTTCTCAGTAGGGTGCATGGGAGCTGCTTTCTAGTGATGGGGAGGTTACCCAGCCTGGGGTGGGCAGCGCTGTCCAAGATGTCCTACGATGCTCAACAAAGTTGTGCACACAGTCAATAAGCCATCAGATCAGCCCAGTTAATTGTTGTTTTGTTTTCCCCTAAACTATTTTGTTGTTGCTAGAATCTATGCAGCAAAACACAACAGTTTATACTGTACAATTCATTATCACTGATTATATTCTTCAAGTTGTGCAACCATTGTCACCTTCCTTTTCTGAGCTGTTATTCATTAACATAAACTCTTCTTTCATTATCATAAACCTCAAATTGCTGTTGTCAATTTGATCTCACACAGATAAATCAAACTTGCATAGAGCTCAAGGCATGCATTTTTTTTCTAGGTAAGTTAAACTACTGTTTGGCTTTATAAGATGACTTCAGGGGATAGCTCTTCAGTTTAAGGTTTAAAGAAGAATCAGAGCAACAGTTTCAGGGGTTCATTCCACCTCCATGGCTCAAGAAAGTCTAAAGTCCATGAGAATTTGAAATTCTGTTCTATTTTTTCCCCTTTGATCAGAATTGTTCTGTGTAATCTTTACTCAAAATGCTCAGGAAAGGTAGCCGAGTACCATTGAGTTCTGGTTTCACATCCAAGGAGACCATTAGCCACACATTCCATTCCATTTCTTCATCTTATATGTGTGACTATAAGGCCATAATTCTTTTTTCCTAACTTTTCTATTATCAGTAGACCTCTGCATCGTTAATTCTGAAACTACACATGTAGGGAAGTTTTATCATGCATTAATTCCACTTCAGGGCACTAAAGGGCACCATAAACACTTGTCTATGAAAGGCAGTCAAGATCCACTAGGATGAAAACCCCTCCCACTGCAGTGGTCTCACCTGCCTAGGTAATGTTTCTGTATAGCACAAAATGGCCTTCCTTTTATGACTTATCCATGCATTTAAAAGGTCAGTCTCAAGACACAGTAATCCAAGTTTATCAGAGGTTGCCAGAGGCTGAGGGGAGGGAGACCGAGTCTCTGTTTGAGGTGATTAAAATGGACAGTGATGGCTGCTGCACAACACAGCTAAGTATATTGGCTTCACTGAATTGCAGATTTTTAAATGGCAAGGTTTTTGCTATATACATTGTATCACAATAAATTTTAAAGAGTCCTACCTTGTTACATTGTAACTATAATAGGGTTATATTGTTACATTGTAATTTTAATAGCTCTCTTTTTACATTGTAATTATGCCATCTATAAATTCTTCCTCATATTAGCAAATGTCAAATACAAATTCAGGAAGAGGCCTTTCAAGTGTCCCTGTCCACACCCCTCTCACTGCTAAAATCAGACAGGAGGGGGCACTGCCTTTGTCAGCAGAGAATGTGTCTCACTCTTGCCACTAAACCACCATGACCACTGGTCAGGAGTCATGTTTCTGTGCAGAATGCTTTCCCATGGACAAAGTGCCCCTGGTTGCACCCAGCTGGGCGAGGAGTCTCCATGGGCAGTGACACCCAACCCGAGTCAATGGGGACTACCAGTCATTTGATTCTAAGGGCCAATGCCAGCGTTACCTGGTCTGAAAGCCGACTTGCTGCTTGCTCAATTTCTGCCCTGGCAGCGATGGACTGGCCACACCACGGGGCATAGAAGAAGAGCAGCACCACCTCTGAGTCCTGGCGAATGATCTCTGCGTAGTCCAGCTGCCCCTGGAAGAGGTCAAGAACTGGCGACCTCGAGGAGAAAAAGCTGACAGGTGGCTTGGCTGGTATAATCACATCTTTTGCTCGACTAAAAAAGAGCAGACACAAACAAGATGACTTCAATCACCTTCTTCTAACAAGAGGTTTGTATAGAAGGAGAATGACATTAAATAAGAAGAAAAAGGAGTTCCAAAATATTGTTCTGTTATTACAAAAGCAAAACTGTACTAAGGCAACACCTGCACAAGAGAATGATGTACAGCAAGACATGAATCATATGTTGAAAATTATTCTCTACTATTTTGTGTCATCCCCCCTCCCCGGGGTCCCTGTACAGAAGTAGGGAGGCAGTAGAGGAGAAAGCTGGATGAGTGTTCTGTATCCTTGAGTCTGTGGCCAGAAGACTCCATCCTTGACCCCTGCACCCATTGCTCTCTACAGGAACCACTGGTTTTGTGATGCCAGAGAAGAGTACTGCATATTGACAGACTGCCAAAAGAACAAATATATATGTACTGGAGAAGATGCAACCAGAGTGGCGGCTCCTTAGAGGGACGGATGGCGAAGATTCATCTCGCATACTCTGGGCATGTTGTTAGTAGGGCTATTCTTTGGAAAACAACATCTTGCTTGGAAAGGTGAAAAGCAGGGAAAGAGAGGAAGATCCTCAGTGACATGGACTGACACAGTGACTTCAGCAATGGCCTCAAGTGTGTCAGAGATGATGAGGATGGCGCAGGATAGGACAGGGTTCAGATCTGATGTACATAAGGTTGCTATGGGTCATACTCGACTTGATGGCACATAACCCAAAGCTACTGTAGAGCTTACACAGAACTAGGGAGGAAGCACTCACCTCTAACAAGAATTTTAGGGGCACTTACAAACTCGACTTCAACAACACATTAAGTGTGTTAACCAGAGTTGGTCTGGACTTACCCAAGGAATTCAACCTAGAGGAACAATTAAGAAATAGTATCTATTGCTCCAGAAACAGACCATAATCCAAAGTTTGAAACTATACATAGTTAAAAGGCACCAAACACCTTGTTTATCTGGAAAATAAGTGTCCTGAACAGTTAGGGTTCCCAGAAGGGAGACAGTACAAGAAAGTGCACTGGACAAGCAGACAGAAGTCACAGAGCTGCCACTAATGCTTTCTATCAAACCAAAGATGTCTCAGGTGTAGTGTGCTCCACCAAGTTTAAAAGAGCCTTAAAAGCATCTTCCGTACAAACATTAACAAACTCACACACATTTACTGGCACTGAGTTGACACATATCTGATTCATATCGGGTTTTCAAGAGGCTGTAAACAGCACAGGAGAGAATGTCCATCTTTCTTCTCTGGAACAGCTGGTTGTTAAGAACTGCATGTCTTTGCACTGGCACCTCCACTCCCTATTTTCTAGACCACCAGAGCTTTGCCTTTCCATTTACCTGTACTGACAAAACAACAAAACAGAAAAGCTCCAGAACCATTTAGGAAAAATATTAACAGAGGAAACAAGGCCAACTTAAGTCCACTTCTATCAATAATGACATTAAAAAAAAACACACACAAACCCACTATTGTGACTGTTATAAAACAAAATTTTATCATTTATAACACTTATAGTTATAAACATTTATAGTTAGTTTATAACAGTTATAAAACAAACTGTTAAATGAAACATTAATATGCTTTGTACACTTTCATCCAAACAACATCATGGCCTGAATTCTGCTCCCTTTCAAATACATGTATATAATGTGGAAACTAAGTAATGAGCCTTCCTTCAAACTATTTGATAAGTCAAACAGTTGTGGGGGAATTAAGGGTAGAATACACTATCCCTTCATCTCATCACAGCCCTGATGGGAAGTTTCCCTGGGGTGTGACCTATCACACTTTTAGTCCCATTGGAGGTAAAAGAAGAATGTGCACTGAGGGAGGTCCTCAGTACTACCAAGTGGACGGTGTCCTTCAGGACTCACCATCTCTACACTAGGACGCTCTCTGACACTGGAGAGGCCAAGTTACACAGAAAGCTCCCAGGCACACCAGGCTACAGACGCTGAAGGAAACAAGGACCTTTGAGAGCTGATACACAGACAGGGCCTTCCAGAGCTGATACACAGACAGAGCCTTCTGGAGCTGGTGTCCTGAATTTGGACTTCTAGCCCCTTAAACTGTAAGAGAATAAATTTGTATGGTAAAGCCATTTACTTGTAGTAAACCCCTTTTATAGCTGCACCAGATACCCACGACAACAACAAAAACCAAAAAATAATTACCTCAATAAAGAGGAGAATATTCAAGACAGAATAAAGACACAAGATCCAACTACAAGAAAGGTACATTTTAAAATACACAGGATAAAAGAATAAGATTGGGGGAAAAGAGGAACTATTTCAACAATAAGCAATAGGAATGGTGACATGAATTACCAAGTAGATGGATAAGTAAAGTGTGTCCTAGTCATACAATGACGTATCCCGGGAAGGAGGGGGAGAACGATCGATAGTTCTTTCCTGGACTAGTCTGAAAACAATTATATTGAGTGTAAGAAGTCAGATGTTAAAAAGTTCATGCTACATGACTGTCCTGCTATTAAAAGTAATAGATTGTGAAAGACATTATTAGCTGAGGAGCTGTCTGGGCTGGGAGACATTACAAAGGGGCTCTGGGGAGACCAAAATGGTCTCCAAAGTCATTGACCTTTACATGTAAAATGTGTGACTTCTGTTGAATGTAAATTCTATCTCAATGAAGATGGTTAGAAAAACTGGCTGGGCTGGTGAGTCCTAGCTCCTCAACAAAGCTTTCTCTGATGGCTCTCCCTAAGGCAGGATGCTTTCATTTTTCCTCTCAGCTATCACCTGGCTATCTTCATAGTTCTCATTATAATCTATAACTTATATCATTTACTTGTTTAAGTGTTTACTCTTTTAAAAAACCTCACTGTCATCGAGTCTGGACCAACTCACAGCTGACCCGCCAGAGGGTTTCCAAGGCTACAACTCACTTGGGAGGAGAGCACCCATCTTTGTCCACAGAACCACTGATAGACCTGAGCTGTCAGTGATTCAACCTTTGGGTTAGCTGCACAACTCCTTAAAGATCCCACCACCAGAGCTCCCTTTCAGACCATTAACTTCATCAGGACAAGGGCTCTGCATGTCTATCTGTCAGCTCCTCATGGTTTTGCGCAAGTCTCACATTCATTCATTTAATAATTTATTGAAATGTAATAATTTGTTAAATGAACAAATCTCTACTTACCTCACCTGAATATAGGTGAAAGTAGACTAAACATAAATCAACACAACCACATTATTATTATTGAGGATGTTCCAAGAGAAAATCAGCATCAGAATGCTTATTTGTTTCACAAGGATGTTAAGGGTGACTCATTTAACCCTAACTCTGCATGTGTTCAAGGGAACTTGAGCGATAATTTCTCAGAAAACAGTAGTAGAGAAGAGAAAGGCAAAGAGAAGGTACACAAAGTTGAAATATGCAAAAGCCTGTCAAGGACTGGGAACCCAAAAATAAAACATAAACACCCAAGACCTAAACTAGACCATCTAGCATGAGGGAAAGAGTTCCATATCTGTCTATGCAGCCAGAAAGCTTAGCTTTGTGAACAGAGAAAACAGTTTCAAATACATTCTTTTCTTACTTTAACAACAACAAAAAAAATTATTAACATTATAAAGTAGTGATGTTAAGGGAGCAAATCTCCAATTTACTCACTCTAACCTTTTTATCAAAGAGCTACTACAGTTTTATGTAAAATACTTTCATAACCTGAACAATTCATTCACTCATGAGATGATTTAAAAAATATGTACTGAACAAATGCTACTGTGACTCAGGCACCAGACTAGAGGCACCGAGGCCATGCAACGGGCATGACACCATCAGGCACTGGACTGGAGGCACCGAGGCCATGCGACGGGCATGACGTCATTAGGCACCAGACTGGAGGCACTGAGGACATGCGAGGAGTATGATGCCATCCGGCACCGGAATAGAGGCCCCGAGGCCATGTGATGAGCATGATGCCATGAGGCCCCGAAGCCATGTGATGGGCATGACGCCATCAGGCACTGGACTGGAGGCACCGAGGCCATGCGATGGGCATGACACCATCAGGCACCGGACTGGAGGCACCAAGGCCATGTGATGTGTGTGATGCCATCAGGCACCGGACTAGATAGACGCACTGAGGCCATGCGATGGGCATGAGGCCATGTTCTCAGGAGCTTCCTCCCAGGGTGGAGGACAAGTCAGCAAAGAAACCTATGAACAGCAATACACAAAAATGGTCACTGCTCTGCGGCTCCTCTGAAGCAGCAGCCTTCAGGGTAGGATCATTTAAATTGAAACCTGAATGACAAAGAAAATAGTGACAAAAAGAAATGGGGAAGGTCTAGGGTCAGAAAAGTTACATTTTCAAGAGACTCCAAATTCTGCTCTTTTATTTTTTTTTTAATTATTAAAACTGGGTTAAGTGTTAAATTTAGACACATACCTTGGAGATACTTCAGTTCCATAACCTCTTCAAAAAAGCTGTCACAATAGAGGCAAGATGCAAAAATTTGTTTATCCCCAGTGCACATAGAATGGATTGACACAGTAACTAGGGACATGGGGATTGGGTGTGTCAGAGTCACTGAGACTGGCTTAGGACAGGGCAGGCTTCAGAGCTGCTGTACATAGTGTCGCTGTGAGTTGCAGGCCACTTAATCGCACATACCAACAGTAATAACCAGTGCACATGAAAATTATGTTTATGCTACATACTGGGGTTTTGTTGTGTTTTTTCTAATGTCTGTAACAAAATTTATCCCTGAGGCTCAAGAGAGAGGAACAGGGCCCATGAGTTACAGTATCTCTTTGGCAGCCTTTTGGGCCAGCGCCTGCCATGGGTGGGGCGGGTACTGAATTTGACACAGCTGCATACATGCTGATCTAGTACAAAAGATGTATAAAAGATAATAGGGGGGGAAACATGATTTTTTTGTGAAAATTATCAAAAAGTAACACACAGACAAGAAGTGAGGACATGCTATTGGACAAAGGGTACTAACAGACTTGAG